TTTGTAGTTCGAATTTTAGTGACGTCATGTGAAAACCAGCAATATGCAGATCTCAAGCTGCGACTGACCTCTGTGTATGTTGCTAGTCAGAAATAAACTTTGTCTTAGTCTTGTATGTCGCTCTTTCTTTGACCATCCCTCCTAGTAGATTTTGCCGGCGAACAATTCTCTTTGCCATTAAAGAAGACAAAACCAAAATAACTCTAAATAAAGTAGACAAGGCTAATCTTTGGATATTAAGGGAAACAAATAGAAGTAGGGTACCCAAATCCCTAGTGATATGGGTATCCCCTTCCGAAGTGTTGGCTTGTAATCATTTCTTTAATTCAGGGTAGCCAAATCAACCGAAGATAAAAAGGCAAAGCAAACGTACCAAGAGAAAAGCCAATTTCAAGGGAGGAAAGGACTATAGAAATCAGTGCCAAACTGTAGGGGATACCCAAATCCCTAGTGATATGGGTATCCCCTTCCAATATGTTTGGTTGTTATCAGCCAAATCGACCAAAGATTAAAGGGAAAAACAAACTTACAAAGACGAAACTTATTTCAATGAGGAAAGGACTAGAAGCAGCTGCAGAAATGCCAAAACGTTGGGGATACCCAAATCCCTAGTGATATGGATATCTCCTTCCAATATATTTGGTTGTTATCGTTTCTTTAGTTCAAGGTAGCCAAATCGACCGAAGGTAAAAAGTTTTCTACCTTGAACTAAAGAAACGATAACAAGCAAACACTCTAGAGGGGGATACCCACATCACTAGGGATTTGGGTATCCCTTACATTTTAGCATTTCTAAGTCCTTTCCTCATTGGAATGACTTTCGTCTTTGTAAGTCAGCTTTGCCCTCTTATCTTCGGTCGATTTGGCTGCCCTGAATTAAAGAAACGATAACAACCACACATATTGGAAGGGGATACCCATATCACTATAGGAGGGATGGTCAAGAAAAGAGTGACAAATAAGTCTAAGACAAAGTTTATTTCAGACAGGCAACCGTACACAGAGGTCAGTCACAGCTTGGGACCTGCGTATTGCGTGACGGCCGTATCTCAGTGTGTTCGCTCGCATATTGATTTTATTCAATCGCCGAACTATCCGAGGTTTAGAATGCGGCTTTCTTGTTTAGCTTTGTTTAAAATGACGTGCATTTCAAGGGTTATCGATAGGCACCAAGCGCATGTTCATACAAGGAACTTTGGCGCGTGAACGTGTTTTCTATGTCGTTATAACTGCGGACTCGGATCAGACAGTCTGTCATAAATTGCGACTATTTTCAGCAGCTTTATGTGTCTATATCAAGATTAAGATAGTTTTAATTTATTGAGACAAAGCTTCGTAAGAAGATAAATGGTTTTTCAGCAGAATTATGGGTGATTTCACTTGCCCCAGTCTGTGGTGTAACGCTTTCAGTGTTTTGGGTATCCCTACTGGGGATAGTCAAAACACTAGGGATATGGGTACGGGGGTACCCAACACACGGGGATACCCAACTCACTGTGACACCGCATCCCGGATTTCACAGTTTTTATAAAGAGATCTGGGAACCAGATTATGCTTCCGTTTTGAGCAGAATGACGTCATTTGGATAAAGTATTCGTAGCATCAGGTACCCGGATGAAACCGGTAACGTCAGCAAATGTCGCAACAATATGGCGGACGAGAGGGACGATATTCGTGAAACCGATTTAAACGATGATATGATTTCTGGGGCAATTGGCACTAACGCAACCACAAGTATCGATTTTAAGGAAGATGATCCACAACATTTTCCGGGTATGGATGAAATGTTAAAAGTAGCAACTGATTTACAGGGTACTACTGGACATTCGGTTCAACTCACGCCTCTAAGCGAGTCGCCAAGATTAGAAATAGAAAATTCTGGTGAGGAAATATGACTGTTACAGTTCTTATGACGTTTATAGATTTCTTGAAATAGCAAGGCAGGTGAAAACTCATTGTTAATCTGGGTCTTTTCATTTGCTTCCGCACCCATGTAGTAATATTCTCAATCTTCTTCTGTTGAAGATAAGCTTACATGTACCATAAGCTTCCCAACAGTAACGACCGTCGTTTATATAACCCTTACATTTAAGCTTATTTATTTATTTATTTATTCATTTATTTATTTATTTATTTATTTATTGCAATTTAGCAACTTATTAGCAACTTGCATAGTTTTGGAGGGTTATGGCTTTCTTCCTTCAAGTAGCTGAAACGTTCATTAGACAAGAGTTCACTTTAATTAATGCACATAATTCTGTTCCTCCCTTTCGTTGATGTAAGAGAGATAGCATGCAAAAGTAAGTTCTCTTACAAAGATCCTTCCCTGTTGCTACATGTCAGTATAGATGAGGTCCTATAAGGGGTTTCTGGGATCTGGCATATTTGTATGTGTAATCAAATGGTGACAAGTGAAATAATAATTTCACTTACATTTTGTCAAATTCTTATATTTTAATTTATTAGAATTATTAGAATTTTTGACAAACTTAAGTGGAATTAATGCCTAATTTCATGAGTATACCTTTTGATTACCTTTTAATATCTTGGGTGACAAATTACAGTTACATTCATGGGCTTTTGACTTATTTGTTGTATCAAGAAATTTAACGACAACCGTTGCCATGGCAATTTTGTAATTTCCCAGGTGAAATTATAAATTAATGCTGAATTCCATGCCAGACTTAAGGAGTAGCTTGTCACCTTTGATATTAAGGGAAATACGGAGAACTTGGTCATATGCTGTTGTTTGCAGAGGATGACAAAAATATACAAAGATTTATAATGCAGGTGAACAGCCATTGTGCTACTTAAAGCTAACAGCTATTGTGCTGTTTAATTATTAAACCTCTTGTTCGGTGACAGTCTTGTTGGCTTTGTCGTTGTGGTTTGCTAAAGCTTCCTTGTGATAAGGGAAGTACAGAGACCTTTTTCTGGGTTTAAAATTTGGAATGCAGGGACTTTTTTGGGTCAGAAAGTTTGCAGCAGTTTTATTGCTGCCCAGATTACAATGCAGCCATTTTAGTCCTGTCCCACTGAGATGGATCGATGTCAGGTGTGAATGAGTGAATCAACAAAATACTATATTTGAGTGTCAAAGGGTATTTAGCTTTAAAAAACTAGTTGGGGACACTATTTACACTTTAGAATATATCTTAGCTACATAACATTAAATTAAAATTGAAATTATTTGCCTGCAGTATCAAGTGTAACATTGTCCCACATGACCATATGGTCTATTTTTTTGCGATGCGATAAAAGTAATAGCCTAAAAATCATGTTGTATTTCACTAATATAGTATTTGTCAAATTGACCCTTGAAGCTCTTAGTGTACACCTTGATGCAAAATAAGTCTTCCTTTCAATTTCCACCCCGAAAAAGAAATTGAAAACTTATGTAGGTGGTCAACCATGTCTTAGATAGGAGGGGGTCACAATTTTTTGCCTTCAATCACAGGCATCCCAAATTCATGATTGGAGAAATCAATCGAATATATCTCAGGGTATGATGGAAAGGCTGTCTGATAGCCTGGGACTAGTGAAACGATTGGTCGGGCTAGCACTGTCTTATCACAGGTTGCCCGACAGGCAAGCATGACGTGGACATGAGTGAAACACTGTTGCTTGTTTTTTTTTGTTTTCTTTTTTCCTAATGGCAAACTTCACACACTGTGTTTAACAGACAGTTCGTGAGAGAAAGTGAAACAATGGAAATGTTTTTTCTAAGATAGAGTAAAATGTAAAATTTAAGCGACCGAAGTCAATTTTTTCCTGATCGCATGTCCCAACAGCGCGGTGGCAGTGCAAGACAAAAACTTGCTATAACAAGGTTATCATGTATTTTAATCGTTACCGTGCAGTTAATAGTTTGCTCAAGTAAGCATATGTCTTAAAGCATATGTAACCGTGAATAGCAAGGAGNCACAAAGGTGCAGTTCGGCTGCCTGTTGTCTACTGTCTTGTCTTCGATCAAAAACCAACACTGTTTTGTGCAGAATAAATTGATGGAGGAAATGTGTAATTTCACTTTGCTGGCTTTGATTTCTGTGCACAAAATATATTACTCTAACTTACTGAGTTGTGTAGCTTGGCAGATGGCCATGATTCATGGTTATAGAACCGTCTTACCAAGTTGTCTAGCTCGTTATAGTGGGTTAAATGAATGGAAACAGAAGCCACACATTTAACCAGAGAATGTTGGTATGTAAACAAACACCTAGAAAGAATGTTCAGCTAGTTAAACGGCTTAGTGAAAAACAGTTTATTTATTTTACATGAATGTAAATTTATGATTACGTTGTTCTGGTCCCCTTTAGTCTCAGGTCATTGAAAGTAAATTAAAAATAACAAACAAAACTTGGCATAGACACAGAGCCTGAATTATGAAATTGTACAAACCAAACCAAATTTCTCTTTAGGCAGACAAGAAGATTTTCATGAACGCAAATTGTATGGGAGCTTTAAAATTGCTCACAGGCCAGAGTTTAAGCTTGTTCTTTTGTTTACGTTTTGAATTCATGCTGAGTTTACATCAAAACATGAGATTTTAAAGGCCTATTTTTGCGAGTCTACGGAAACTGGCGCTGTCACGCAACGTTTTGAACAACAAATCGGCCATTGTAGTCTATACAGGGGACCTCTTCACTTGCATGGACTTTGACACTATGATATATCTGTCTGTGTAAAACCTCGGTTGCAATGAAAAATGTTGATTTTAGCAATAGACAGAGGCTGAAAGTCAGCTAGTTAAATCATTTAAAGGGGCTAGGTCAGCCAATTTTAGGCAATTTCAGCACTGATCAAATGTTCATAGAATTAACTAAAATATCACAAAACGGCTCAAAACTATAGAAGAACTCAAACAAAACACAGGAAAGCCAAGAAGGGACATGGATGGACAAAACTGGGGAGAATTAAAATGGATTGCATTTGGGTAAATTTGAAAAACGTCGGCCCACCTTTTTTCAAATTTATATCAGTTTATATCAAAATGTCATTTACACAGCTGGAAAGTCATTCTCAGTTGTTATGTGGCTGTGATTTTGCAAATGAAAGACTCTTGCTCTGCCAATTTGACGCTTAGAGCTCATAATTAACAAAATTAAGCAAAATTACCTAAAATAGCGCGACCTAGCCCCTTTAAGGTATATATATGAAAGTGACGGTATTGAATGCACTCAAGATCTTTGATTACTACTAGTTAATAAAATAATTTCGGGCTAGCTCCTCAGAGGTTTGGGCTAGTAAGATGAAATTACAGCTTGCCCAAAGGGCAAGCAGAGTGTTTGAATTTCATCTCACCCTGATATATATGTTATTGGCCAGCTGGGAGGTCTGTATAGTGAAAAACTGTGACTGAGGTCTTGAAAATGCTGCTCGAGGCCTCTGGCCTCGGGCAGCATTTTCAAGCCCAAGGACACAGTTTTTCACTATACAGACCGACCCTAAGCCAGCCAATACCATGTTTATTATTTTCCTGCAGTAAATTGGCTTACAAATGGCTTTGTTTACACAACTTTGTCATTGAACTGGCTTACGTGCTGTCTACAAACCATTCGTAAAAAATCTTTGCATCGAGCAAGTAACTCAGATACTAGTGTACATAAAGAACTACTTTATGTTAGTTGCATTTAGTTCACCAGTTAAGTTCTCCAAAAGTGTTTTCTCTGTGTGAAATTTTGTGCAAAGTTTGAAGTTCTACTACAAAAACAATCTCAGTCAGTCATTACCAGACTTTTCTACCGTAAATTGGATAGCAGAAAGCAAGGAAATGCATTACCGGTAAGTGTAGTCCACAGAAATTCTCAAAAATACGGCAACAATCAGAGAGGTAAACTCAACTGAAAGTTACTCATTTTTTACTTAAAATTGTACAGAGAGAGCCACACAGGATTACATGCCATTACAGTGCTGAGCTACAAAGAGCCAAACAAATTCTCACAACTTCAAAACACTCTATTCAATGTACTTACAGTGACTTTTTTTACTATTTAAAGGTGAATAGAGATAAACTTGTGTTGATTAATAGTCAATAGAAGTGTAAAAAGGGCAAAAGATTGACAATTACTGACACTGCAAAAATAATGCATGATTTTTTTTGTCCACATTTTAGTAGATTGGTCATTTAAGTTTGCCAACAAACTGAGCTGTCGCAGAGATGCAATATGTTGTTATTTGGTTTGTTTTTACTTTTTTACAGCAACTTTTGTTCTTGTATGATTTTGTGAACCTTCACATGATTTGATCAATATAGATACTGTTACTGTATACGTTTTACCTCATGCTTGTCATTGTTTATGGAAATACTGTATTTCAGAGTTATCAATCGTTCACGAGAGTACTGTTTGACCCTTTCAAAGTCTTTTCATACTGACAGATATTAATGACCCTTTTGAGACAAATTCTGAGGAAACCTGTTTTCAGCAGACACCCCGTATTAAGCGGACACTAGCATGGGTCCTGAGGGTGTCCACCTAATACAGGTTTGACTGTACATCAAATTTGGTTTGGATGGTGACTGCACAGTAGGTTTTGAAGAATGTGGTTGAAATATGAGATTACTCACTGATGTGTAACTTATTACAGGACCTTCTTCATCACCTGTGTCATGGCACCCACCTGAAGGGACATATCAAAATGGTCACCCCACTGCTCAAGCCATTGTTCGACCAGGAAGTGCTCAGAAAATAGATCACTTAAAAAAATGGAGTATTTCAACATACAAGTATACTAGGCAATATCTTTCTGAAAAGTTTGGTAAAGGTACAAGGACTGTGGATACTGAACTTGAAGCACAAATTGTTTTGCTGAAAGAAACACAAGTTAAGTATATTAATGTCCTAAAGCTTGCAAAGCAGATGACACATCATTTTCATAGCATGGTTCAAAGTCAAAGAGGTCTTGCCGATGCCTTTGCAGATTTGGGGATGAAATCACCAGAACTACAAGATGAATTCAACTATAATGCTGAGTCTCAAAGATCACTGGTCAAAAATGGGGAGGTTCTGCTTGGAGCCCTTAATTTCTTTACATCCAACCTGACCACCTTGGTGCACAAGACTATGGAAGATTCTATCATGACAGTGAAAGCATATGAATCTGCCAGAATAGAATATGATGCCTACAGAACAGACCTAGAGTCTACCCAAACTGGACCAAGAACCGCAACAACAGCTGTTAAAGCTGAAGAGGCTAAACAACAGTTTGATGTCCAGAAAGAGAAATTTGACCGGATACGTGGTGACCTAGCGATCAAACTCAGGTTTTTAGAGGAAAACAAGGTACAGAATAATTATTTATCATCATCATTTGGGTAATATGTTCAAGTTAAGACTTACTATAATAATGAAATTATGTGTAAAATTTGCATTTCCTGGGGCATCATCATCGTTAAAGAAATGAGATATCAACAGATATCTGGAATTAATAGCAAAACAGCTGTTTAACCACTGTTATTGGAAAAATAATGGCCTGACTTCTGTAGGTAGGGGTGTTTACTATTACTCTGTGGGTGTCTTGGAAATAAAACCTCTTACCTGAAGGAAGTAATAGTGGCCTCTTTAACCATAATTTTGCTTTTTGTTTAACAGGTGAAAGTGATGCATAAGCAGTTGTTACTCTTCCAAAATGCAATTAGTGCTTACTTTGCTGGCAACAAGCAGGCTTTGGAAAACTGTATAAAAGAATTCCATGTTAAAATCACAAGCAATGAAGGCAAACAGGCATCATTCCTGGAACACTGATTTAGTTGTGGGCAGGCATGTTACTTTGGGGCATATAGGATATAGAATATGAACGACAAAGTATATGAAACTGCTTTTTGATTAGCATGTACCTGACAATAAGTAATTTCTAAGACACGTGTTGAGAGAATTTTACCAATATTATGAGGACATAATTTATTCCTTATTCATGCCAACTACTGTAAACATGCTTAAGGTAAAGTTAGTGTTACAGGTTACAAAAAGGCTTCGTTTTATCCAATATTAAAATCAGTTTCCACTAATCTCAATGTAGTTTGTGGGAACTTAAGAAGAGTAAACCTTACTAAGGCACATTGTGGACAAACCATTTGCTGACAATTTATTGTGAACAGGGTGTTGTAGAGTCATTATAGTTGCTTATGTCAGTATAGGTTTAAATGTGTTTGTGAGGACTTGTAAGAGAAGTGCAGAACAGTGTCTGTCTAGCCATACCATAAGCCTTCTCTGGAATATCAGACTGCAAGCCCACAAATAAAATAGTTTGCACGCTAGCACTCTGAATCCAAACTTGGCAAAACTCCCGAAAGTATTGGGATTCTTCTACGGAAAACAAACTGCAAGGGAATAATTGAAAAAATTATTTCAATGTAAATCAGTCAATATAAGGGTTAAAGTTGTCCGTGTGAGATGTAGGAGTAGTAAATTCACGGAATATCGATGTGAGTTTCCTAATAACAAAAAAAGCTCTGCAAATGAAACATTTTGGGCGTAGAAGAGTTTTTCAATTGTACACTTGAAAATCAAAACTTAGGTTTTGGGCGCTTATACTTAATATACTACTCGTCCTTTGTTTTCCAAAGAATGATCTACAGGTTTTCTGTACATGAGTGATAAATAGCTTTGCTAAAGTGAACCGTGGTCGCGGAAAGGTTAATCATAAGAGGAAAACACATAGCAGATTCAGACATCTGAAATAGACATGGCTTAAATATAAAACAAACACAGTCAGTCTAAAGTATCGATTTTGGTTTTTGAGGTAACGCCAGTAATGGGTTCTTTAGCGTGTTTCACTGAAAGGCACCAACATGCAAGACAATTTTTTTTAGTTTTACCATTTAATAACTTTTGCGTTGATTCCCAGAATGAATAAAGAAGCGGGTTCAGAAAATTCAGATCAAGAGGGCTTTCTAATTCTAATTTAACGCTATATTCCAGATTCAGTTTTGAGATTGTTTTGACAGTGTGATAATGTGTGACATTGCGAGAACTTCGTTTGGTCAATGGCCTTGCGTGTCTCGTATGTTGCTTGACGCCTCGCATTGCTCGCACATCTTGCTCGCTGCCGAGTCTATCTTTTCGTCGAGGGTCGAGGGTCGAGGGTCCCATGTCGAGGGTCNAATATATTTTTTTCTGGTCTTTGCTGTAGGTTCGATTTCCGCCGCTCAGTCGAGTCCGATCTACATGTTCCTCCCCGACTTGGTTAAATGTTCGCTAACATGATCGCACTTCATATCACAAACGTCTTTGTTACAGCGAGAAAGATAATTTATGTAGTCTTCTCGATTCAGATATCTGTTTGGGTCCCATGTCTAGG